GTGTTGGGGATCCCTCCTGAAGTTAAAAGCAAATTGTCTCTTGCCCTGTGATTCAGGTCTTTGAAGAAATCTCCTTCCCCCCAAGGTCCTTTAACATAATTTTGCAAAGCAAAGCTCAGGTGCTATGGAGTGACTTCTCTACCTTTTCTTGGGTATATTTTCTTGGCATTGAAAAACTCAAATATATGAAACATATAAAGGAAGACCTTACAGAAAACTTTTCAAGTTGATAAAAGGTGGATACTGTTAAATTCAGAGATTCCATTCAAGGCACATAAAGAATCCTGTTTAGTCATGAAATTAAGAAATTGATTAGGTGGAACACTGATTCTGGTTAGATTTTCCTCTAGTGTAGGTTAAGCATTCTGTGTACTTTCCTTGATTTACCAAATACATTTGTCAATATCCTTCTTTTTAAAAGTAACAACTATGTGGAACCGTGCTGAATTCTCTGTACTTTTTTGTATTCCTTAAACTAATAGTTATCTCTAAGCTGATTTTGGGACTATATTTTAAGAGATTTAAAAAAAATCATTTTGTGCTTCCTTACAATCTATTAGAAGAAAGCCATTATTTGAGTAAATATTTACCAGTTTATTACTTCTCAGAGTATTTAGGTAAAAATATGATACCAAAATCTTGAGAAGTTCTTTTAAATAAACTCCTCAATTTTTATATAGCATTCCCAGAAATATATTTTTCCTGTGTCACAGTGACTGGGATCAGTCTGTTTCAGATTTGTCCCAAATTTTTAATTTTTAATGAAGTAGTATTATTAATAGTTGCATTATTAAGACAGTACATTTGTAGAACTCTGCTTTGAACTTCTAGTTTCTGCCATGTTTTTTGTCTAGTGCCATGTAGACATAAGTGCAGTGAACAGAGATTTCATTTTAGTATGTGAAACATTTAAATCTGAAGACTCTTTTTCCAAACCTTTCTAGATGTAACATAACTAACTTCTTTTTAGAACAGCATGCAGGGTGTGTGCTGATAAAATGAAGTACACTCTTACAAGGCAGGTGGGAAAAGCTAAGTAAGAATTTCATTTTCTGGTGGTGGTGGTATGATTATTTAACAATGTTTCATCTGCCAGCAACTTGATGTACCAAAAGTTGTGCCATGGCCGTGTGAGATGCATGAAGTTCCAGGCTGCCAGTGGATGGAGTCAGAAGAAAATATGGAAAGTTAGAGATTGGTTATAGGAGAAATACATGCAAGGAGGTGAAGACTGAACAGTCCTGCTATATATGTAGATCACTAGAGTGTTCAAAACACTCTTGCTATGGTAGCTTTGTCATCTACTGTGTAGTGTAAATCTGTAGCCTATTTATTTTATTTGGCGTTTAGTTTTTAATTTTGTTATAAACTCATCAGCAATAAATTTTAAAAAATGGAAGAGTGTTTTAATGAAGAACAAAGTGCTGAATTTCAATTTCAGTACTTCACATGCCCAAAATGTTTATTGACGTTTACCTTCCACCATGAGTTGTAGTGGTATCACTGACTATGCAACCACCAGAAGACACAAGAAATCTGCTAAGAAAGGATCAACATGTATTTAAAAAGTTAGCAGTTATTTTAATTGTATGCCTCAAGATGACAAATATTTACAGGTGCTGAAGATGTTTACATAACTATGTGAAACATAACCTCATTTAGACTAAATAACTTTTTAAAAATTAATTTTTCATTTTTCCAAGTTTTCTTTTGCATGTATGAAAAATGAAGCAGTTGTTGTTTATGTGTGGCTCCATTAGTAGAAAAAGGGCCCAAACACTGCTGGTTTTCAAATAGAAAATCAGTTAATTCTAATAATAGTTCACTTTTTTTTCACTCAAAACATTTGTATCTTTGTTCTGTCAGTGCTATAAATGTAATCAAAGTAAAGCTTTTGGAAGTTTATTCTCTCAAAAATGCTATTATAAATTTAAAAGCCCAACATTGGAGATAAAATTATTTGTTTCTGGCAAAAGGATGTTGTCATGGTAAAAATCTGTGTTCTGACTAAATTAAGAAAACTATGGAACAGAAATGTTTTGGGAATTGGTTGTGGTGCATGCATACAAACTCTGTTCAACCAATTGAAATAAAACTGTAGTGGCCAAATTTATTGATATTGATATATATAGTTTAACCGAACTACAAAATTCTTGTGATGCAGCTGATGTTCAAAAAAACATACTTCAGCAAAACAGTATGCAGTCTCTTTGGTGTATGTCATCAAGAGGATTTTAGAAATATGATTTTGTGAAGAATTGCTCTGTAAATTAACCTAAGTGTATTATATTGGCTTGATTTTTTTTAAATTGATAAATGAGTGGTTAGGTTTTGGTTCAAAAATCATTTGGAGATCTTTAAAGTGTCACCAGATAGAACGCCAAAAACCTTCAGCTTTTGATAATTTTATCAAAAATAGCAATTCTTGAAAACAGGAAGACTTTGAAATTTATCCCTGTAAAAGCAAAGGAAAGTACTGAACAAGTTAAATGGTGAGAGCTCAAGATTTAATTGGGAAGTTTTGTTATTTGCACTGTCTCAACTATTGGGAAAACTCTTTTGATGGAACTCCTATTTTTAATTATATTAGTTTACATTTTGTATTTGAATGAAATGAAATTGAGAAGGCAGTTGATTTTGTAGTATCTAAATTTGGTGAAATATTTTTAAAAGGATAAAGAAGTATTTGAAAGTTTTGTCTTAAATGATAATCAAAAAAAACTTTCAACTGGGGAAAACATTAAATATTTGGGTTTGAAATATTTACGAACTTCAGTATAAAAGAGAATGGAGAATATCCTTCAGCGAACAGAATTTTCTCTGAGCTTACTGGGTTGTTCAGAAATACTATAAATATTTTCTCCTTTAAAAATATTATAGTCTACAAAGAACAGTGAGTTAAAAATATCAACAGTGTCATAGTTACTAATCATAAAATTAAATTTTGAAAATTATTGTAGGCAATTTTCTTTAAAAAACTTAAAAAATAATAAGACCATATAAAAATACCTTCTTCAGAGAAATAGCAATGCATTGGTACCAGATATAGGTACAGCAAAGAATCTGATTAAAGTGTGTGGTGAATAATTATTCTGCTTACATTTTTAATGCATCATTGTACACAGATATGCTCTTATCTTTTAGAATTTAAATTTTTAAAGGAAAAGAAATTTGAAGGAATTTTTGAAAATATATTTTTAATGTAACTGTTTTATAAACTTACCAATATAATACATTTTATAGTCAATAAATACATTTATAGTCAATCAATACATTAAATACATTTTTAAGTTATATAATTTTAATTACTATAAATGTCCTATCTCACTCTCAGTAGTGTCTGTTAATGTTAAAAAAGGTTAATTTCCTACAAGTTAATTTTGGGAATAAGAAATAGAAGCAAAATGTGTTACTCTGCTAGCTCGAAAAAAAAGTCATTTCAATTAACAGATTTAATTTCTTTCTTTGATGTATTTCCATTGTAGATTCTAAATTTCAGCACTCAAATGGACTTCCAAGACTTTAACTACTCATAAATTCTCACTTTACATTTGAGAACTAATAGTTAAGTGGATTTCCCAGATTTTCCCAGCAAGTTAATTATACAGTCCAGTGTACCACATTTTCCTTTAAGCTGGTCTTGAGTTATATTCCCCATTTTGTGAATATTTTGCTAATTGTCTTTAAAAACTGAAACATACAATTTTTCTTATCAGCAGTTAAGCCAACAGAGACTAGGAGTTAGTGAATAGCATTTGTTGGTAACCAAATTCAGAATAGTTTTTTTTTTTAACATTTTCACTTGTATTGTTTATAATTGTACTTTAGTAATACTAGGTTAATGTTTTTTAAATACGCTGCTACTGAAAGAAAGATGCTTTCTATCCAAATCAATTATCTTCACCAATTATTATTGTAAAAGAGTTTACCATACCATTCCTGTACTTTGACTTATTGTTCTAGAATTGTCTTTAGCACTACCTTCTTGATTGGTTTTTTTAATGTTCCTAATGTGTATAAAATGTTCTAATGTAAACAATTTGCTATTCCTCAGTTTATTTTTTCCTGTGTATTATGAATTCTATTTAGCTTAAAATTGTACATGTGTAGCCTTCTAAATTAAAACTGTGCTTTTTCAATAAAAAAAATAGTTTAAACTGCAAATCTGTTTTGTTAACATTTCAATTTGATTTAATTATTATTAAAATTATCTCAATATATGTTAATGTAGCACATTCAAAAATTGACTTAGGAAGTCTTATTACGGTGTAAAAGCTACCATAATAAGTTGTTCTCTTACATAAATAAATAAATGACCAATATTACTAGAGGCTATAAGCAGCAAAGGGGAAAAAAATGGAAGAAGTCTTTTATCCTAGTTTTTAGAGGGCATCAGCAGCTTGCTTTTATGAAAAAGTAACAGCTAAATGCACTGCAAATAATTTGCAGTAATCCAGTTCAGTGATTCATGTGTCTGCTTTAATGGGTCATAATTCAGGGTAAAGTAACTGAGTGCAGTCAGAGTGCAGAGACTGCTTATGCCAGGGACAGTATCTCTTCATAAAACACACCTCAGGAGAAGCAGTTTGCCAGCCTCCTAATACTCTCTGATGTTTTGATGTCCTGCATATTTTTCAGATTAAGTTTTGAGTGCCATGTTTTTAGTTGTATTTCCACATTCATTATTCTCACGTAGACCCTTCAGCAGGTTTGCCATATATGATTATTTTTTTAATGATGCCTTTCTTTCCACTTCAGCAGTTTAATAATCTAGCACATGGCTGCTTCTCAGTACTCAGCATTCACCTCCCCAATACAGAAGAGGACATGTGCTTTGGCTTCAAAATTCCATTTGCAGCGTTAGAAATGCATATTCCCTACGGTACAACATTTGTTTGACATAACCATTCATTTTTATTACCTCTTTAAATATGTTTATCCAGAGTTATCAATAATCATAAATAACTGTATTCTCATCTTGTTCTGTTTTTTTCCAACAGACAAAATTGCTTACCCAGTACATATTAAATCTCGGCAAGTATGATCAAAACTACGACATCAGAGACCGTACAAGATTTATTAGGCAGCTTATTGTTCCAAACGAGAAGAGTGGAGCTTTAAGTAAATATGCCAAAAAAATATTCCTAGCACAAAAACCTGCACCACTGCTTGAGTCTCCTTTTAAAGGTATTATTATCAGACTATAACTAAGAAATACGTGTTACCTAAAAAATTATAGCAGTATATCCCATTTCTAATATGCTTAAAATTTATCTCTTAGAAAATATAAATGATTAGCATGTATAAATATGTAAGAAAAATGTGCTTTCTACTCATTCATCTGTTCTCCAGAGCAAGTTTTATATTAAAGTTTATATTTTTTATAGACCTTATTTACCTAAATAATTTCAAGCCTTCTGATTTTGTTTTTATTCTTACTAAACAGTTTAACCAAACGGCAGGTAAAAGCTGTGTTATTCTTGTAGACGTTGACTTCATTTCTATTTTAAATAGTTTTATTTTATAAAGAATATAAGTCATCTTAATAGGGAGTTGTTATGAATTAAATATTCTATGTACACTAACATCAAGCTTTCTAGGGGAATTGTTTATAAAAACATTCCTTTTGTATTTAAATTTGTTTTTCACGGAGGGAAGATGACTTATTTTTCCCAGCTTTTTAAAAGGACTAATTAAATATATTATCAGTTTAACAAGTAGCCATTCCATTTGAAATGAAATGATTATATACGTTGATTTTCATATTGTTTCTTATTTAATTGTTGGAAAGTGATAAAAAGCAATTCAGTTTTGTAGAAAAACTATTAAAATTCTGGATGTGTTTGTGCCAAGACATGTATATGGATTGTTTAACTGTGCTGTCATTCTTAATATTCACAGTAAAGTAATTTTTAGAGAAGCTACATTTCAGAGCAACACCTCTAAATACACTGACTGATTAGCTTTTTTATTGACCATTATGGGGGAGATTATTGTAATCTATGGACTGAAATCAGTTTTTTGACCTATGGAGAGCTTCCTAGTTTATATTTATTCCTTGACATTTGAGGTAATATGCCAATTACCTTGAGCTCTGATTATGATTGTTCTCTGTTACATGCAGCTTATATTGTTTATTTTATATTTTCCTCTATTTTTAATAGATAGGGATCATTTCCAGCTTGGCACTTTATCTCATACTCTCAACACTAAAGCTACTGGGTACCTGGAATTATCTAATTGGCCAGAGGTGGCACCCGACCCATCAGTACGAGATGTAGAAGTAGTAGAGTTGGTAAGTTGACCTTTCTGAAATTAATTTTGTTCAAGCAGTGGGAGATTCTCGGGTAACTGTTGTTTCATATAAAAGCTTTTGGTGGGGGGAGTTGAAAACTGAAATTGTTCTAGTATTTCTAAATGTAATGTTTTAGATATACCTAGCCTTTATAAGACTAAATATTGTAATATTCCTCTGCCATTGTACATGTACTGTTCATTTTCGTCAAGGAAATAGAGAATTGAATTCTCTGCATCAGTGCCACCCACATGTGTGCCTGTGCTATTGCATTTGTAGCTGTGTAGATTCAATTTCTAAGGTACTTAGTTTCATTGGATTGAGCCTTTTCTACTTTGTTGAGAGATTTGTAAGCTTCCTATCAATATTTTTCTAAGTAATTTTTGCTGTTCTCTTCCAGAAACACCATACAAAGTGTTCTTCTGGATTTTCCGATGAACTGTTTTAAGTGAAGCCTAAACATAAATAGGGAATATTGTGTACTAAAAATGTCCTTTGACAAGGTCACAATTAGAATGAATAATATGTTGCTTTCACATTAAAAAAAACTTTATAAATACTCTTTTTCTTGATCTAAAAAATGCTGGCCATTAGGTTAAAAAAAACCCATTCTTTTCTAATATTATTCTGTTTGTTATATGAACAAGAAAAGTAAGGGGAAGGGCCTCTGAATTTATTTAATGATTGATTATATGAAATATATTTATTACTTTTAAAAGTAGAGTAAAAGGAAAAGAGCAATTGAGAATTGTACTCTCAGGGGGCTGGCTGGTAGTCTCACTCAGTAGAGCATGATGCTGACAACAGCAAGGTCAAGAGTTTGGATCTGCACACCAGACTGCGACCCCCCCCCGCCCCCCCGCAAAAAAAAGGAATTGTGTACTCTGGATATATTTCTGATTAAAAAAAGATATATTGAAGTAGGATTCACATAAAAAGAGCTCTTTACCCCTAATACCTATGGGAAAATCAGTTAACCTCCTTACTCTTAACTTTTCCAAATACAATAGAAAAAAACCTTTATTATTTTAAATAGAATTTCTGTAATGAGCATAGCCATGTAATTTGATTCCTCTGAGAAATAGTTTCTCTTAACTACTCAAACTTATCCTGGCTTTGCAGCATGGCCAGAAACAGTAATAACTAATAATAGCTTCATTTAGCAAACCCTGGCAGTGTACTATGATAATGTTTTACTAACGTTATCTTATTTAAACTTCATAATGATTGTAAGTGATGGTTATTTTTATTCCCATTTTGCAGATGAGGAAACCAAGTCTCAGAGAACCTAAGTAATTGCCTTAGTTTACATAGCTAGTAAGTAGTAGAAGGGGATTCCAAACCCAGGTCTATCTGTATCTATTGTCTGTGCTTTTATTACATTTTATTATGTAACCAGAGGAGAGGAAGCTTGAGCTTGTTTGCAAATCTGTATTATCCCTAGTACTTAGCACCATCATTTTCATTTTGTGACAAATTATCTCTATTTAGAAATGGATAAAAATATGTAAAAGTTATGAGAATTAATTGCATGTCTATTCCTCCTTGCAACAAAGTTTATTGATTTTCCCTCAAATCTACATACTCTTCAAGACAGTTACCTTATTTGTGCAACTTTTGGCCAGATACTAGAATAGGATGAGAATGTGCTTTGTTATGACTTTTTTCTACAGATATACTCTCTGTCCTGATTTCTTATTATGCCTATTTGTTGTTTTTATGGTTCTGTCCTTTCTCATTATTGGCTACACAATGTTTTGGTCTGAGTAGAACCATCCTTTTATCCTCCCCCAACTAACACCCTATCCCAACCTCCCTGCTACTCCATTTTTCTCCGCCAAAAAAGGTTTATCTTCTCAGAAATTGATAGCAATGCTATGCAATTTAATTTGGACTCAGCAGTATCTTTATATTAGCTGATAGATTGGTTGGTTGGCTCACCTCTTCCATTTTCTCACATCTTTTTCTAAGCACTAACTACCTGATAGGGACAGTACTTAAATAACCTATTTTCTTATGTTCATATCACCTGTCCTGTTCAACAGAGAGAAATTGATTTCTTTTGCATTTCACTGACTACATTCCTGAAATTAATAATTGGTAACTTATTATGGGAAATAATTATAACTGATGTAACCTGGTTGAAGAGAACTGTGTCGTATTTGTTGATGCCATGCAGAAAACAGCTTCAATCTATTGGTCTCTGAGATATTTTGGCTTAAAATTATACTATGAGGGATACAATTAAATATAAAAATAATGTAGAAAGTTTTATTTTCAAATGCAGTGCAGAAAGTAATGTTTCTATTGTCTTTCTTGCCTCTCACTCTACTTAGCCCTCCCTTGAAAGTCATCAATGTATTTCATGTACATAATACACTGTGTTATTCTAGTTTTACTATGAAGTGGTCTTACAGGGTCAAATCTCATTATTATAAAATATAACTTACTAAGAAAAATGGCCTACATTTTGATATTCTGATGTTTTAATCAAAACAACAGGTAACCTAGTCAGATTGACACGTGAAGTCACTTTGAATTATACACCACCATTTTCAGGATATCAGATATTATGTATATTTATATTATGATACCAGTAAGTTTCAAAGATCTTTTAGAGTTTTCGGCTTAGTTCTAGAGAATTTTTTCTTCTTTAGTTATGGAAAGATTACCTTTTGTATATCAAGGGTATTTTGCTTTATAAATACATCTGCTGTCAATATTTTATCCCTCATAGGAACTTTCAAATTAGTGCCTCTCTGTTCATCTCCTCTTTTCTTTTTCCTATTATTCCTTTTGCTTAGAATGATATAACTATCATGGTCATAAAGCTCCATTAAAAAATTAAGATAATTTTATTAGTCTTCAGTCCTTTAAAGTCAGAAACTCTGTAATAGAGCGTCTGTGGCCGTGTCAAAGTATACCCCTTTGAGTATAGGAACCCAATTTTTCTTTTTTTTTTCTTTTCCTTTTTGTCTTTTTTCGTGACTGGTAACGGGATCGCAACCCTCAGTGTCGCGCTCGTACTGCGACCGGCAACGGAATCGCAACCCTCGGTGTCGTGCCTGCACCGCGCTCAACCAGTGAGCAGACCGGTCTCTATATGAGATCCGAACCCTCGGCGGGAGCGCTGCCGCGCTCCCAAGCACCACACTCTACCGAGTGTGCCACTGGGCCGGCCCAGGAACCCAATTTTTCTAAGTTGTTGATTTAGTCTCACTAAATTGATCCCACAGACTTTTTACCGTACTTCAGAAAAATATTTGGATTTAAGAAAAATATGGACTTCAGTGTTTACTAAGTATAGGAGATCTTTGTTTATAGAATACTATATTAATTTTTGAAGACAGAAGCATTTCAAATACATATAAAAGAAAGCATTACTGCTGTTCTTAATGTAAGTATCTTATTCAGATATGTTCAAATAATTTTTACTTATCTTCCTATTATTGTCCATATAATAATTTTCCAGGTTACTGAAGCTTATCTCTTTAAACAATGTATATTAAGCCCTTTAGATCAGTGGTTTTCAAGTGTAGCTTCACGTTGCAATCATATTGAGATCTTTAAACAAAACAAACCTGTGTCAGATCTGCACGAGACCAGTTAAATCAGAATCTCAGAAGGTGAACCCCAGGCATTAGTTTTTTACTATTAATATTTTACTGTTTTTATTAATATTAAAAAAAAATCCTCAGGTGATTTTAATGTTCATCTAGTGTCGAGAATCATTCTTGAATAAGAAGCTCTGTCATGCTGGAAATTCTTTACAACAAAATATGTACTGTCATGGAGACTGGCACATAGTAGAAACAGAAACTTAATAAAAGGTGTAAAAAATAAATAAGTCTTAACCATTTTGACCTGCTTAAAAAAATATATACATATATATATCTGCTTTTTAGAGTATGTCAAAGAGAGTGTATGAAACATGATTTAATTTTTTCTTGATGATTCAAGGTCATAATTATGAAAGTAATGTACTGTATTAAAGTCTTTAAGGGGCTAATATTAGTACTAATATATATTTAGTGAACACTAAAGTCCATATTTTTCTTAAATGCAAGCAAACGTATTTTCTGAATTTAATATATATATATATTTTTTTTGTCTTTTTCCGTGTCCGGCAACGGATCGCAACCCTCAGTGTTGCCCCCGTACCAGACCAGGGACCGGCAACGGGACTGCAACCCTTGGCGTTGCTCCCGCGCCTCGCTCAGCCAGTGAGCGGGAACCGGTCTGTATGTGGGATCCGAACCCTCGGGCGGGAGCGCCGCCGCACTTCCCAAGCGGCGCACTATCCAGTGCACCACCGGGCCGGCCCTCTGAATTTAATATTAAAGTCTTTAAGGGGCTAATAAATATAACTAATATTTATTGTGCCAAATACACTTAGAATATATCAGTGTTCAAAATACTAGAAATCCCAGCTCTCCAGAAGCTTACCTTCTACCAGGGATAGACCAACAATTAAAAAAATAAGTAAATTGCATAGTACTTTCGAAAGTAATAAGTGCTACAATTAAAAACAACAACAACTGGGCCGGCCCGGTGGCGCACTGCTACAGTGCGCCGCTTGGGAGCGCGGTGGCACTCCCGCCGAGGGTTCGGATCCCACATACAGACCGGTTCCCGCTCACTGGCTGAGCGAGGTGCGGGCGCGGCACCGAGGGTTGCGATCCCGTTGCCGGTCCCGGTCCGTTGCGGGCGCGACACTGAGGGTTGCGATCCGTTGCCGGACATGAAAAAAGACAAAAAAGGAGAAAAAACAACAACAACAACAACAAAGGGAATGGTGTTGGAAGTGGGAGCAGCTGAGGACAAGCCCCGAAGGTGAGAGCATGCCTGGGACATGTGGAGGAACAATAAGGAGTGGTTGGAGTGGAGTGGGCTAGAGGGAGAGCAGCAGAGGAGGGTCAGAGAGGCAAGGCTCGGGGGCAGTTATGAAGAGACCGTTCAGGCTGTAGGAAGGACTTGGGCTTTTTCTTTGTGTGAAATGGGGAGCCATTTTAGGGTTTCAAACCAAAGAGGAGCTCAATCTGACTTAGGATTTACTGTAATAGAATCATTCTAGATGCTGTGTTGAGCAAACTTTGGCAGGGGGGCTGAGGAGGAAGCAGAAGCAAGGTAACCAGTTAGGAGACTATTGCAGTAATCCAAGAGAGAGAGATGGCACAGACCAAGGTGGCTAATGGATTTCTTGATGGGTTATATGTTCAGGATATGAAGGAAAGAGAGAAGTCAAGAGTTTAGACTGTTGAGATAGTTAGAGAAATTTATACCTACACTAAATATTTTCTTTTCTTTTTCTCTTTTACCTCAGCATCATGCCATCCACTTGAGTTTCTTATTGCTGTTAGTGTCCACCTACAATTTCCCTCACCTATTCCAGGCTGTATTACTTTACTTTAAATCTTCTGTAGACCAACAAACACAAACGTTTTTAAAATTGTGCATAAAATAAGATTGTCAGTTTAACCTAATGGGCTCTGAGTGAGAGTTTGTATTCCTTTATTTAGGAGTAAAGTGAATCAGCCTTAATGCCAGGACTTCTGACATTTGCCTTCTCTGTTGAGGCCTTCAACTTTCTTCTGAGTTCACAGTTGTATTCTTAATGGTTAAGTTTGACTCCCTTATTTGTTTACTTTTTTTGTTCTTTGTTTAAACAGGCAAAAGAATTGATCCCAGCAGGAAAAGCAAAGAAAGAGAATCCTGCTAAGAAATTTTATTCTGAATCTGAGGAGGAGGAAGAATCTTCTGATAGCAGCAGTGACAGTGGTGGGTTTTATAATTTATTGAGATATATTATTCACATTGTAGACTACACGTTGTACTTCCAAAACGACAGTAAGGCCTAGTACATAATATTCAACAAGTGGTTTTAAATGAGGTGTATACAGTTAAAATACTTCCTTTCATTTACATATCACTGTTTAGTTTTCAAAATAATTCTAATTATTTTAGCAAATTCCCTTCTCATTTGACATTGCCTCTTGGATACATAGCTAATAAATAATAGAAACCCAGGCTTTTCCGAATTCTAACCCACACTGCCTGTTATATCTATTAGCATATTAAAAAACATGATTTTACACTTGATAAACTTTAGTAGGGTCTTTAAAAGTAACTTTCTTTTATGAAAATATAAAGTTTATTTTAAACCTTGAACAGTCTTTTTCTCTTCCAGTTTATACACATCTATTTCTGTGTTTACCTGTACAGAGATGAAGCTAAAATTATTAAATCTCTGTGTACTATAAACAAATGTTGAGCTAAAAAGATTGAAGGCAACCATATGTGATGAAAAACTACTAACTAGGAAGGTTTCAGAAGTCCTAGGGTTTAGCTATGCAAATTGAATAGATAGCTACATTTGTTTGTATCTGATGAATGAAGGGGTAGGGTTAGATGTTTTTAAGACCCCTTATTACTAAAATTCTGTGAATGATTTGCATAATGAAAAATATATTAGAGTCACTTTCCATCACTCTTATTAATAATTGGGGCTGGCAAGTTAGCTCAGTTGCTTAGAGCATAGCTTTATAATACCAGGGTCATGGGTTTGGATCTCAATACCAGCCAGCCACCAAAAAAAAGAAAGAAAGGAAAAAAAAAAATCTAATGGGCAGATCTGACCCAAGACCAAATGACACCATACTTTCTCTAAAATCTTTATTCCTTGGAGAACCAGCACCCCTCACTATTATTATTTATCTACTACCTTACTCTAGGTAGTAGATAGATCCTTTTTCCCCCAGCCCATCTCCCCTATCAAAATTTCTCTTTTCAGTATGTGATAAGTTAATCTGTGAAACATTACCTTTTGAAGTAATAAACTGAAAAGTGGAGAGAATATACCTCAATCCAGAAAGTTTACATTAAAAAATAAAGAATGTCGGGACTCCATCCCCAGCCCGGCCTAGTGAGCACCAATCAGAGAGGCGTGGGATCCAAGGAGACCACACACCCGGCAGTGCCAGTGCGCGATGGAGCAGGTAGTCCTCACCACCACCAGACTCCATCCCCAGCACGGCCGAGTGCACACCAACTAGAGAGGTGCCTTGCCAGAGATCTGCAAAGCTCACACGCCCCGTGGTGCCAGTGCGCTACTGAGCACGTAGGCCTTCCCACTGCTGGACTCCATCCCCAGCCCGGCTGAGTGCGTGCCAACCAGAGAGGCGCCTCCCTGGAGTGGCCCAAGACCCGAGGTGCCCACGCACGTGAGGTCCCTGTGGGAGACCGAGCAGACACTGAGGCAGCCGTGCCACATTGGCAGCCCCAGCAGCATCCTAGCCAGACAATAGTATTGAAACAGTGGACCGTGAAATCCCTTGCCACAGTGACTAAACATCAAAGGAAAGATACAGAAATATGAAAAATCAAGAAAGTATACCACCAAAGGGTAGTAACTCTCAGGCTCTAGATCCTGTAGAACAAGAAGCCCTTGAAATGTCTGACAAGGAATTTCGAGGAATAATTCTAAGGAAACTAAACGAGATACAAGAAAACTCAGCTAGACAACATGATGAAACGGGGAAAAGTATACAGGACCTGAAAGAAGAAATTTACAAGGAAATCAATGCCCTGAAAAGGAACGTAGCAGAGCTTGCCGAGCTGAGGAATTCATTCAGTGAAAAAAAAAAACACAACAAGACAGTTTAACCAGCAGGCTTGCGGAAGCAGAAGAGAGAACTTCTGACATTGAAGATGGGCTGTTTGAAATAACATAGGCAGACAAAAAAACAAAGAAAAAAGAATTAAAAACATTGAAGAAAATCTAAGAGAGGTATCAGACAACCTTAAGCACTCAAATATCTGAGTCATGGGTATTCCAGAAAGGGAGGAAAAAGGAGATTGCATTGAAAACATATTCAACAGTATAGTGGCAGAAAACTTCCAAGGTATAGGAAAAGACACAGATCTTCAGATTCAGGAAGCTCAAAGATCCACAACTGTATTCAACCCAAAAAGGTCTTCTCCAAGACATGTTATAGTCAAATTGGCAAAATTCAAAGACAAAGAGAGAATCTTAAAAGCTGCAAGAGAGAAGCATCAAATCACCTTTAAGGGAGCCCCAATCAGTCTAGCATCAGACTTTTTATCACCAACCCTAAAAGCCAGAAAGGAATGGGATGACATATTCAAAATACTAAAAGACAGAGATTCCCAGCCAAGACTACTCTACCCCACAAGGTTATCCTTCCGAAATGAAGGGCAAATAATATATTTCTCAGACAAACAAAAACTGTGGGAGTTCACTACCACATGACCACCCTTACAAGAAATTCTTAAGGGAGTACTGGGTTTGTTACCTGAAAAATAACTACCACTGCCATAAAAACTCAAGAAGAATCAAAACCCCCTAGTCAAATAAAAATGTCAACAATGAAGAGAAAAAAAAAAAGTTTGTCTACAACCCAAGGAACCAACAAATACAGAAGACAAACAGTAAATCAGAAAGAAAGGAACAAAAGACCCTTAAGACATCCAAACAAAAATCAATAAAATGCTAGGAGTAAATCTACACTAACAGAATACAGCAACACATACACAAGATTATACACCATGATCAAGTGGGATTCATCCCAGGGATGCAAGGTTGGTTCAACATACACAAATAAATAAATGCGATACACCATATCAATAAAATCAAAGACAAGGACCATACGATCATCTCTATAGATGCTGAAAAAGCATTATATAAAGTTAAACACTCATTCATGATAAAACACTCTCTACAAGTTAGGTATAGATGGAAAGTATCTCAACGTAATTAAAGCCTTATATGATAAACCCACTGCCAATATCATCCTGAATGGGGAAAAGCTGAAAGTTTTTCCGTTAAGAACGGGAACTTGACAAGGATGCCCACTCTCAGCACTCCTGTTCAACATAGTGTTGGAAGTACTAGCCAGAGCAATCAGAGAAAAGAAGAAAATAAAGGGCATCCAAATTGGAAAAGATGAAGTCAGACTATCCCTGTTTGCAGATGACATGATCCTATATATCAAACAGCCTAAAAGCCTCTACAAAAAAGCTCTTGGAGTTGATAAATGATTTCAGCAAAGTAGAAGGATACAAAATCAACACACACAAATCAGTAGCATTTCTATTCTCCAATAGTGAACATGCAGAAAGAGAAATCAAAAAAGCTTGTCCATTTACAATAGCCACCAAAAAAATAAAATACTTAGGAATAGAGTTAACCATGGATGTGAAAAATCTCTATAATGTGAAATACAAACCACTGCTGAGAGAAATTAAAGAGGACACAAGAAGATGGAAAGATATTCCGTGCTCTTGGATTGGAAGAATCAACATTGTGAAAATGTCCATACTACCCAAAGTGATCTACAAATTCAATGCAATCTCCATCAAAATTCCAATGACATTTTTCTCAGAAATGGAAAAAACTATCCAGACATTTGTATGGAATAACAAAAGACCATGCATAGCCAAAGCAATTCTGAGCAAAAAAAAATAAAGCTGGAGGCATAACACTACCTGACTTTATACTACAAAGCTGTAATAACAAAAACAACATGGTACTGTCATAAAAACAGACACACTGATCAGTGACATAGAATAGAGAATCCGGAAATCAGCCCACACACCTACAGCCATCTGATCTTTGACAAACTACCAAACCTATACACTGGGGAAGAGACTGCCTCTTCAGTAAATGGTGCTGGGATAACTGGATGTCCATATGCAGGAGAATGAAACTGGACCCATACCTCTCACCATATGCTAAAATCAACTCAAAATGGACTATAGAACTAAATATTCACCCTGAAACAATAGAACTTCTTAAAGAAAACATAGGAGAAACACTTCAGGAAGTAGGACTGGGCACAGACTTCATGAATATGACCCCAAAAGCACAGGCAACCAAAGGAAAAATAAACAAATGGGATTATATCAAACTAAAAAGCTTCTGCACAGCAAAAGAAACAATTAACAGAGCTAAAAGACAGCCAACAGAGTGGGAGAAAATATTTGCAAAATACACATCTGACAAAGGACTAATATCCAGAATATATAAGTAGCTGAATAGGTATTTCTCAAAGGAAGATATACGAATGGTCAATAGACACATGAAAAAATGCTCAATATCACTCAGCATTCGGGAAATGCAAATCAAAACCCCAGTAAGATACCATCTCACCCCAGTTAGGATGGCTAATATCCAAAAGACTGAACGATAAATGCTGGTGAGGTTGCGTAGAAAAAGGAACTCTCATACATTGTTGGTGGGACTGGAAAAAGGTGTGGCCTCTATGGAAAATGGTATGGAGGTTCCTCAAACAATTGCAGATAGATCCACCATATGACTCAGCTATCCCACTGCTGGGACTATACCCAGAGGAATGGAAATCATCAAGTCAAAGATATACCTCTTATCCAATATTCGTTGCAACACTATTTACAATAGCTAAGAGTTGGAACCAGTCCAAATGTCCATCATCAGATGAATGGATAAGGAAAATGTGGTATATCTACACAATGGAATACTACTTTGCTATAAAGAAGAATGAAATATTGCCATTTGCAACAACCTGGATGGACCTAGAGAGAATTATATTAAGTGAAACAAGTCAGGCCCAGAGAGAGAAATATCCCACGTTCTCACTTATTTGTGGGAGCTATAAAAATAAATAAATACATAAATACATAAATAAACTGGGGCAGGGGAGGGAAGAAAACACAACAATTACAATTCCTTGAAGTTGATATCACAAGTGAACAGATATGAGGTGGGAGAGGGAAGAGGAAGGGAGGTTTCGGTAATGGGCCACAATAACCAACCACATTGCATATTGACAAAATAAAATAAAATTTAAAAATAAATACATAAATAAAAAATAAGGAATATCAGGAAGGATGTAGGACAGTGAGAAAGATCTCTTTTTACTTCTCTTTTAAGTATGTGTTACTTCTTCTTTTCATACCATATAGATAGTTGTCTCCATCCCATTTATTCACAAGCTCATGCCTGTTCATAGGCTACCCTTTTTCAATATATATTTGATATATTCCATTAACATTATGACTTTTTATGGGTTTGTCTGAATATATATAGTAGTGAAGCGTGTAGTGGGAATTCCATGGTAACTACTGAAGGACAAAAAAATAACTCTTCTCATTAGAAATTATTAGATTTTGTTTTCCACTGAGCAAGTCTTTTGGAGAATAAACAAATTTCCTCAAGGATTTTACTAACCTGTAAATTTAAATAATGGTGCCTGAAGTGAATTGAGCCCAGATTCATGTTGAACTCTCATGTGATAACATGAGAGAGTAACTTAGATGCTGTAATTTCTTTTCATTATTTATAGTATGAGCCAGTTGTCTGAGTTAATATGTACGTGTGTAACATTGATATCACAACAAATTGAAAGTGTCTTTATTTAGTTTTGTTTTATCTTTGTATAGTCTGGGTAAAATAAGTTTTCCTTTTTGTAAAAGATGGTAATGATGAATGCCTTACCATCATGTGGCAGACACTGTTGTGTTCTGATCACCTTTACATGTTTCATATCATTTCATCTTTACAGTAGTTGTGTAAAGTAGCTAGTAATATTGTCCCCGTTTGCTGAAAGGGAAACTGAAACCCAAAAGAGATTGAGTAACTTGCTCAGTCTTAAAACTGGTTAGTAGCAGAGCCAGGATTTGAACCTGGACATTCCAAGTTGAGAACCCGTGGTTTCACCTCCTGCAAGCTCTTCTAAAAGAATTAGGTAGTCTTAGCTTTTCACTATGACACATGAGTGAATCTTCATGAAGTTGGTACTATTTACCTATTAGGATTAAGTTTTAATTAACCGTCATTTTTCTGCCTAAGAGTACTTCATCACAAAGATTATAGGCAGAGGCAACAGTTCTTCCTTTTATCTAAGGTGCAACTCTGCACCGATAATCATTTTAAATAGTAAAAATTTATGCTTCATTTAAAAAGTACACATACCAGTAATTATATTCTGTGTATCACTTCTGCAAAGAGCCTTAGTATACCGTAATTTGTATGTAAAATATTTAAATACCTAACTCCTCAATGTAACTTTATCATCTCTTAGATCTGTGGAAAACTCCTGTACTAGCTAAATAAGTAATAACCCTTTAATTAGTAATTTTGCTTTTTGTCTTTGAATTTAGAACTTTATGGAGATGATTTGAATGGCTCATTTCCCTCTCAAAGTTTGTTCCTAAGAAGATTCAACTGTTGTGTACTTTTTCTCTAGATAAAATTTCCCATTACAAGTAGAAGAATTCTAAGTTATTTCTTTATCTTTGTATCATCTTTATGTCAGTCTTTAAAAGTTTTTGCCATAGCTAGATACTTATGGGTTTGAAAAGTGAGAGTCGCTCATATTTGGTTAACTTGGTTCATGTTTGCTTTGCTTTTTTCTACTCATTATCAGAGCATCTTCTTTCTGTCTTGAGTCCCTCCATGCTCACCCTGCTGCAGGAATCCATAGGTCTGAATGAACTGGGGGGAATATAAAGTGTTGAACAAGTGGGATTCAATATCTGGTTTCATCTGTGATGAATATTGGCAGTTACAGGTGTCCTTATGTATAATTAAATGGCTATAAATCAAGGAACATCTGGTTCTGTTTTTCAGAGAGTGAATCTGGAAGTGAAAGTGGAGAGGAAGGAGACAGTAGTGAGGACAGCAGTGAGGACTCCTCCAGTGAGCAGGACAGTGAGAGTGGAAGTGAGTCAAAAGGAGAAAACAAAAGAACAGCCAAGAGGAACTCGAAAATCAAAGAAGAAAGGTAAATGCTTTGTCAGAATTTCCTTCAAAAAATATTCTGTAGCATTTTCCCCTAGGCTCATGTTTTCCATTAATTCATAGAACAAGAGAAAATAAGTGTGTGTATTTTTTCCCGAATATATAGTACAACTTTTAAAATTGACTTAAAGTGCTAGAGTGCACATTATTCTACTACTTAAAATGCTTGGTTTTCGTTTTGAACTTGAACAAATCACGGGGTTGCATTTTGAAAATTGGTATAACCTTGGAAGGCTGAGTTAAGTGATCAAGCAGTAGGCATGAAACACTTAATTACCTTTTGTAGCAATTTTGCTGATGGCTAAAATTAAATCCTTCAACACTTTGCTATTATATACCGAAGACAATTGATTTTTCTAAATAATGTTATATTAAAAAGATTATGATCCAAATACTAGAGTCAAAGGCTGTGAATGGAAATGGTGATAAGATATTTAGGTATTAGCGCTTTTTTATTTATTTTTTATTTATTTTTTATTTTTTTATTTTATTTTATTTTATTTTTTTTTGTCAATATAAAATGTGGTTGGTTATTATGACTCATCACCGAAACCTCCCTCCCTCCTCCCTCTCCCCCCTCCCACCCAAGAATGTCCTTTCCGTTGCTTGTTCTAACACCTTCAAAGAAATTGTAGTTGTTATATCTTCTCCCCCCGCCCCCCGGTTTTGTGTGTGAGTGAATTTATTTGTGTATTTTTAGCTCCCACCAATAAGTGAGAACATGTGGT